TCTAGGTCCGAAGCCCAGCCATTATACGTCAATGCCCCATTCGGAATCTCACTGACCGTGAATGGGAACGTCATCAATACCGAGGAGCTCCGCAGATACCTCGATGAGGAAGCTCACCGGCATATCAACTCCGATTCCGACTCGGAGCTTCTGTACGTGATTACATCTTGCTTCCGGCTCAGCCGGCATCGTCGCGCAGTATCTCATCTGTCAAAGGCTTAATGTTTTCGCACACGGCCTTCACAAGCTGGGAAGGACTCGCGCCAAAGTCGACGATATCTTCAAGGCATTGGGCGATGTGTATTCCAGATGTCACGGGGCTTTTGCATGCACGGGGATGATCGCGGGCTTCGGCATTCTGGCCTTCAGGCAAGTCACATTTGGGTCTCCTACTCTAGTGCCAATGTCTGATCAAGATCAAAATATAGGGACGCTGATGGCATCCGCCCCCTTTGCATTGGGTCACGACCTTCGGCTACCATACCGGGCGTAAATGATTACTTCATGGCGTCAGAGTCAGTTGTACTACAGCAACTTGGCTTTCGTGATATTGTGGATATATTGCCAGGCCAGGCCGTCTTCTGTCCAAAAGGCGGCACTCCTATCTTTCGCCAGGTCGTTCCGCGGAGAGGTTATACTCCTGACACGTTTGAATACATATACGTTGCCCGACTAGAGAGTTGGATTGATGGTATATCCGTATACCGCAGTCGACAAAAGATGGGAGAGAAGTTGGCCGAGAAGATTAAACTTGTCCTTGGAGAAAAGGGTGTCGAGGAGATTGACGCGAGTAAGTCAAACATCGATGACATGATTCATCTTTCTAACCACTGACTATTCGCAGTTATTCCAGTTCCAGAGGTGAATTATAACGTTGCTGGGGTAGACTTCACGTTCGACGATGCTGACCTTGTGCGAATAGACGAGCAACGTCGCGGCAGCTGCTTTAGCTCAGAAATTGGGGAAGCCGTACGTGACGGCCCTCGTCAAGAACCGCTACGTCCACCGCACCTTTATCCTGCCTGATCAGGCTTCACGCCTAAGGAGTGTCCGCCGTAAATTCTCTTTCGTCGAGTCAGAATTCCAAGGCAAGAACCTGGTCATCGTCGACGACAGCATCGTCCGAGGCAGTGAGTAATCTTCAAAGCTTTCTTCGGAGTCTGGGCTAATGACCGTGTTAGCAACGTCGCGACAGATTGTAAGTCTGCATTGACAGCTTTGCCTTTAGTTTCCAGGATTTCCCGCTAATAATTCAGGTCCAATTGGCCAGGGAAGCGGGCGCGCTTCGCGTCGTATTCGTCTCATGCTCCCCACCCTGCACACATCCGCACATCGTGAGTCATCCATCGCTTTTTGGCATACGTCGTTGAGAGTACTGAGTGTATGTGCAGTATGGTATAGACCTCGCGGACCGTTCTGGTAGGTATTTCCGTTGACTGAACAAGCCCGCATACTGGAGTCAAGGTTATGACGCTGACCTTCGAAGCTCTAATTGCCTACAACCGGACGCAGCGAGAAATCGCCGATTACCTAGGCGCCGACGAAGTTGTCTTCCTAGATGTCGACGGCGAGAACGGACTAACGGCGGCGTGCATTGAAGCAGCTCAGGGCGAGACTCCAATCAAGAATATGGAAATAGGCGTATTTACGGGCGGTTACGTGACTGGGCTGCCAGATGGATATCTCGAAAACCTGAGCGACCTTCGAAGTGGCCGCCGGCAGCAGAAGGCTGGCTTTGAAAGCCAAAAGGCTGGTCAGGGCGAGAACGGAAGCGTGGCTGCGAGGCCAGCACCTGCAGGCCTGCCATGCTCAGGCGAAGCTGCTACCCCCGACCACCGCGAGGATATCAAGCATGTGGTTTGTGAAAGCCGAAGCTACCAGAGCCGTGACTAATGTTTGACAGCCTTTATAATGTCGCAAGCGAGCCCATAAATCGTGGGAGGTAGAGCATTGTTCGGCCATCAGGCATCGGCAAGCACCGCCGGAACGGCCTGCAGACCAGGAGAAACCGCCAGCCAAAAAGAAGAGACGAACCAGAAAGTCAACAAACCAAAGTTTGGGGGCTGGTCCTACTGAGAGTTGATAACACATATAGAGAAGTGGTATTGACCAAGGGGACCTGGGGAGTTGTGGTGGATGATTGAGACATGACAGTTGCTGTGACTGACTCTTCCGATAGACAAGGAGTATTGGCGAAGGGGTTTAGGGAAGTTGTGGTGAATGATGAGACACTGGTTTTAGTGACAGCTTCAGATTGGGGGACATCTGGCTGCCTGCCTGCCACTGGCGAGGCAGCAGACTGACCGCAACTGAATTTTGCCTGGCGTAAGACTGAGCAAGAGCGGCACCACACTACGTATTACGAAAGAAAGGACTGTCCCATTAGAAGGGCTATCCCATTGGATGTGCCATCCCATCATGTGCTGCCCCATTGAAAGGGCTGGCACATTTACGTACTGTCCCATTGGAAAGGCTATCCCTTTAGAACCCTGCTCGTTTATCCATCTTTTGGGACTGACTTTAATTTCATATTTTCATTGCAATATGTTGTGACTCGATGCAGCGGTCTATTTGCTTCATTTTGCTTCCGGGTTGCTCAGGGAATGCATTGCCGTCAATGTAACAAGCCTGCGCACGCAGCTGCTCTCGCATGTGATATTTCTCATGTAAACACTCTACAGCCCATCTTTAGGAGGCTTTGCAGAAACTCGAAGCTTAAGCTTACTCTTCGCGTCGCTGCCGACCCGAATTTGAATGAGAATATCCGCCGCTATATGGAGAGGGAACGACTAAGCACGGAGAAGGCTCTCCAGTTCTACACCGTTCTTTCGGAGCAAATCGAACAGATCCAGGCTAATTTTCAGAAACACCAGGATTCTGACTTAACCTCTGGGATGCATTTTGGTAGGGGACTCCAGGGTTGTATGCACCACATGTGCTTTATGCTGGCTCGCCTTGAGAAATACCAGAAAATTGTTGCTGGGCGCTTAAATACTAGGTTAAATGCGGAATCAGCGGAAGAGCAAGCCTCATTCGATAAACTTCAGAATAAAGCCAAAATGCTGCAGCGCTGCCTGGCATTTTGCTCAGACGTTGATGCCTGTATGGAGTCACAGAGTAGCAATATCGAAAATCATGTACAAGGCGATGATATAATCCGGTTTTTGGTCTCAATAGATGGCAAGCGAATCAATGGGAAGAACCGAGGCACTGGGAAGAGGCAGAAGCAGGCTGGCGGACATTTCAGAGAAGCATCCCTTCAACAGATGTCCCAAGACTTCAAGAGCATTGCATTGCACCAGAGCGGTCATACGAAACACGACACTCAGAGTTCGGCGTCAATATCAGGCGATGAACCTCCACTAGCTACCCTTCAGTCGCTGTTCGGTAAATGCCATGGCCCAGGTGTCATCCTTGACAAAACTCCGACCTTGGACTTTCCGCCTGATCCGGCAGGTGTTTAATAGACACTGTTGCCACACTACTTTATTAATGTATATTTATCATAATAGGGATAGGGTGAAGGCTTGTCTGAGAATTCTCAATATCTATGAAACCTGTAAACTGCTATCTGTGTGCATGTTATTCTATCTTGAGTCATACAGTAGATTGCATGTCTTGAATGTGCATATATTATGTGCTACAAGCATAGACCTCAACTGTCAGCTGCGCAATCCGTTAACTCACTGCGCAAATGGACAGTAGTTACATTTGGTGACCTCATTTCCTGGACGTAGAGCCATCCAAGGCCTCCTGCTATATACTCACCCATATTAAACAAATAAGCCTAGCCAGGCCTTACCTGAGTTTGCGCTACCCAATATGCTTATGATGGGAAAGCAGAAACTATTAGTATATATTATCCTGTTTGCTTGTATAGAAGTTTACTCTGTTAATACCTCTTGCTTATTCTAAGGTATAACTAAAAGGACTCATCTAGGATCAAAACACGTCTATTAGGTCCGTCTTCTGACTGGAATCGGAAAGGCCGTCTGTATACTGGAATGTGTGCATGGGGTTGACCTAAAGGTGGATCACACTGATCTGGCATGAACGAACAAGCGACATCAAAGAGACATCTCTGAAGCCAAGTTTCGGTACGATGGGTTGTCAGCAGAAACCAGTGGCTTTCATCTAACGTAACTGAGTGTTACATGGGCCTCTATGTGAGGCGTGGGCCGACAGGTACAAATAGCACACGCATTTGTGGAATCAAGTAAGCGAGGGTTATTGCCAGACGCGTTCGTGAGGTCTAAGAAGTTCATAATTAGCTCCAAGTTTATCTTCAACGCTGAAATAATAAATGACTCATAAAATCCGGTGTGGACAGCGCTGTTCGATAAAGTATACATACAAGCCACCATCTGCATATGATGCTTGGGGTTTCAAAAGCCCAAGATATTGACGCCAAACCAGTTCTGTAGCAAAGAATCAATCAGTTCTATTAATAGAAATTCGTTACATGCTCTAATTTCTTTTTTCACCCAGCATGAGGATACTAGCATTCCAGCAGAGCCACAATCGAGGAATGGGCAGTAGGCAGTACTATGAAACGGGTGCACCCGCATTCCAACCCCGCAAAGACCCCGAGAATATGGACATATGGAATGCAAAACCATAAATTCATATATTCGCTGTCAGAATTTCGATTTTTGTAAAGATTCAATCATCAGGCCAAATTGACAATTGCGCGGCGTCAATCGTGTCACCGACAACCGCAGGTCGAAAGATTGGTCGCAACGCCCCACAACAAACCCGTCGACGTGGCAACGGGTGTAAACAAAGTCGGGCAACCAAGGAGCTCGGCCAGCCAACCACCATGTCCCACATGCAAGCTCCGAACCGAAAACCCCCAATTCTGCCATTATCAGGCCACCGGAGAATTTTTTGCATTGTAAATCTTGTTTTATTTGAACCATATCGCGTGGCGTATTTTCCCGTCTTTTTAGCTTTTCTCCCTGCATCCTGCACCTCTACGCCGTCTCGATTCTCATCCTCTGATGCCACAACGAAATCGCCATCAGGACCTCGATTTTGAGATACACGTCGACCCATCCTCTGCAAGCGAGCCTGCGGACGAGAAACTGCCTACAATGGAGCATGAGGATGTAGCCTGTGCCAAGGAAGTGACTCATGATGAGCAAGGCTCACGTGCAAGTGTTGGTCAAGACGATACGATTGCAAATAATGAAGACATCATGCAGAGTGTGGAAGAAGCAGACGCAGACGATACACCGGCTGAAGATTCGCTACTGAGCACCGAAAATTTGCAGCCAACGGTGGAGGAGATCGTCGACGACCCCGAGGACGATTCGGTTCTTGATAGAAATGTCTGGGCCGAAGAGGACGGCCCCGACTCACGGAGGGAATCCGCTTCATCGAACATGGAAGATTCCGATGGCGATTTGGAGAGGCGGCACTCCATGCGGACTGAGGCGCTGATTCACGCTGCGGCTAAAAATATTGTAGAAGATGTGGCTGACACTCCTCGTGATTCTATCCAGAGCGCCGCCTCAGCACCCGAAGAAGAAGAAGAAGCCAGTTTCGTTAGCGAGTCTTATACTGAGAGCCACCGACAATCACTTGGAGCGGAATCGGAAGCTGGTCAGAGCCAGGTCTCGGAGGAGGACCATGCCGCACACACCGCTCATGCGGACGAGGGTGGGGATAGTAGCTCCCATCACGAGCATGAGGATGATGTGTTCAGCGACAATAGTCCTCGAAGCTCAATGGGGTCCATGTCCGAGGCCGATCGCGAGGGTGCCAAGCAAATTTCACCGCCAAAGACAAGGACTGCCCGCATCTCGGATATTCCCCAGTCTGATGCGGACGAGGAATTTGTGCCCACTATACGGGGCACGCGAAGGCCAACATTCAGATCTCCATCCTCTGTAATGGCAATGCAGATGTCTTCTCCGCCTGCGTCGGCCACTGGAACTCCCAGATCTAGTCGCCGTACTCCAAGATCGACTGTTTCGAGGCTTGGGTCACCGAGTGTCTCCGCACAGTACTCACCAAGGAAGACTAAGACTCCTCCTCGATTTAAGAGAAACACACCGCCACTGGTACTGCTGCATGTCACCGTGCTCCCACCACGCTGGGTCTGGGGTCATGTTTTGGATAATGCTCAGCCAAGTGAATTGAGCCCCGAGGGGAAAACCCTTTGGGAGTCCTGGAACCAGTTGCAAGACCGCACAGCCGATACAATTTCAGATCGCGGCATTCTCTTGCCTCACCCGCAGAATGACTATGAAGTCTTGGAGGAGCGGCTACTGGAGACTCTGGACCTCCCTCTTCGACGGAGAGCCCGAATCTTGGAGTGCGGGCATTATTTGGGGCCATCAAACGAAATGTCCTTGTCAGAGGAGATAGAAAGCGAAGACGAGGATTATTATGATGAACACGGTTCGCCTCGACAGAGCATGATGGAACAAACGCATTGGTGCAAGACGTGCAGCTCACAGATCAGATACGATTCGCTTGGTGATGGCAAGGTGTACCGAGTCAAGGTGTATGCAAGCAATGGCCTGATGCGAGCCGGTGCTTGGGAAGCCTGCTGGAAAGACATGGAACGCGTCGATGTCGAGCTGGAGCCCATCATTGACTCGAAGCTCCAGGAGGAACTCACCTGTTTGGCTGCTGAGCAGGAGAGGGCTCTGGAAATGGAAGAAGAAGCTGCTGCGGCTGCGGCTGCGGCTGTTGACGAGGAGATTCAGCGACACGAAGAGGCCGAGGCTGCGGAACGGTCGTATATGCCCGAGGACATGGATACGTCCGTCCATGTAGAGGAGCCCCCTCAGCCTGAAATTCATGTCGAATCCAGCCCACCATGTGAAAACGACTGCGAAATGGGAGATGAGGAAAAATTGAGAGAGGTTTATGGCTCGAGTCCACCACCTCAGCCAGAAAGTTCATCTATTCCACAGCGTCGATCCTCGGATTTTGCGCCGCAGGAAACACCGGTTTCCCCGTCTGTGGAGGCCCTCGAAAGACGAGAGGAACGACGCGAAAGCAGGCAGCAAGCTTGTAAGGGCTCTTCGCTGCCTGAACTCGTCTTTGAAGCCGTCAAGGTGCTCATGCAGGACCAAAGGAACGTCTTGATAGGACTGTTGAGTCTTGTGGTACTGATGCTTGCTGTCAGGAGTGCATCGACACCGACTGACGTTGGCGCAAAAGCTGTAATTCCGGAGCCAGTTGCTCAAGTCGTAGTCGAAAAGCCTGTTGAATCTGCTTCGGGGATCGTGGATCCTCCAAAGGTTGATGCTGAAGAAACAACAGCGCGGGAGGCAATCAATGTTCAAATAACGGAGTCTGTCCAGGCGTCCAGCACGACACAGGTATCTGAGACGTCGTTGAATGATGTGCCTATGAGTACGATTGAGATTACCAGGACTGTTACACAGGAAAGGACTGAGACTCGTACGGAAACCATGATTGAGACGACTACAGCAACCAAGTTTGAGACGATTACGGAAATGGTGCCTCAGACGATTACAGAGACGATGGCGGAGACGATTACACAGACGATGTCTGAGACCATTACGGAAACCATGGTCGAGACGGTTACAGTTGAAGCCTTGCCTACGGAAACGCCAAAAGATGTTCCGGATATTGAGGAGACTGAGGTTGTCGGGGAAGAGGCTATGCCAGAGGAGGTAGCCGCGGGGAATGAGGATGAGGGTGGTGACGGGAGTGGTGACGGGAGTGGTGATGAGGGTGGTGATGAGTATGGTGAAGAACTCTAGGAAATGCATTTCTTGTGTGATGACGATGGCATGATTGCAAGCGGGCGATTAAGATTGATTTGGTATGATTATGCGCTCAATATAGGCTAAATATACGATCCTTGTAGGACGTTGGATGTTGCTCTCGCTATTGCCCGTGTTGATGTGATTTAAAATTGGGGTGACATGTTGCATATAGGGTATGATCAGGGCAGCGTAGAAAGAGCCCTGTGTGGAAATACATTTATGCACCTAGTCATATGAAGGAGGTTGTGCACGATTGAAGACGGTACTATCGATTAATCTTGGCAATTTAGGCCGGTTATTTCGTTCTGCTTGTAATAAACAAAAACTTGACATATGTATAGAATATCGCTCTCGCCGTTGCCTGTGTTGACGTGATTTACAGCTACAGTGACATATTAGATGCAGGGTATAACTATTCAGTGTAAAAAGAGGCTTATTTGGAAATCAATTCACACTCTGCGTTATATAGAGGACGTTGGTTTAGGTTCGATTCGTAACAGCGCTATTGATTGGTATCTTCGCTACTTAGCCCAGTTGTGTCCTCCTGCTTGTGATTGGAACAAAAAACCCATTCTTCATATACACTATCATGACATATTCGTACAGCTCGAAACACCCGTCACAACCGCCATCCGAGTCTCTCCCATCACAACTGGATATAGACGTCCATGCAGTCCACCTTCCACTCTCTCCTGCCCAACAACGTCCTCAGCCACTCCACCCCGAGGCCGGTCCACTCGGTGCCCTTGGCAGAGACGGCGTCGGCAGCCGCGCCGGCGAGCGCCCTGGCCGTCGAGTTTGCCATTTGCACCACGGTGGCGTTGAAGGACGGGTCGGCGGTGCTCGGCCGCGGGAGGAACCAGTTGCTCTGGAAGTCGAAGAAGCACCGGTCGGACCAGTTGCACGACGTGAGGAACAGGATGAGCAGGAGGATGGAGCAGTACACGCAGGGCCGGTTGAGGAAGTAGGTGCACACGAAGAAGAGGAAGATGAAGGCCGGCGAGGCGTTGGTAGGGATGAAGAGGAGGGGGAGCCAGCTGCGACGGGGGCGTTAGCAGGAGAGTGCAAGTGGCGGGGAGGAGAATTTCTTTGTTACCTTCTGAGGCAGAACATTGTGGTTTACGAGGCGGGAGGCATGTGATGCGCGTTGGAGGAGTGCGGTGCGCAAAAGTCGTGATGCGAGGCGTGGTAAAATGTTTAGGGTGAGGTTTGCGGTTGGGAGGAGGATGGCTGAGTAAGAGAGTTGTTGGTGTTGATGGCGTGGGGGCGAGGAGCTTGACTCGGTCGTTTTGGCTTAGCGCCGTTTTGGGAGAGGGCGGTGGGCCATCTGCTTGCCTTGACTTGTATTTACCTACTTTGTACTCCGTATGTGCGGAGCATTTATTTATTATTGAGTTTAATTTTTTTTTGCCCGTCCAGATAACCATGCAATCAATGCATCATGCAAGGCCTGGTGAAAGTAACATCAATTGATCACGTGCGGCCGTACCCAAGCCAGAGAACCACGACAAAGCAATGTATTAAAAGGTAACAGGATTAGTGATGTATCGAGGCACGGTGGTAAAAGCTATCTCGTGATAGCCTCAGCCACTGATTACGTGGAATAAAATATAGTATATGCCAGTGACTGACTCTAAAATCTCAACATCATCGTATAATATATATTAGGAGGTCTCGTTGGCATTCCACGAGTCCTGTGCACGTGCTTACATGGGCCAAAGCATTCAAATCCGATGAATTTATTTATAGGCTATTTTGAACATGTGAGGCGGACTCGGTACTCGGACGCCAGGGACATCAGGGTCGAAACGTGGCACGGTTGATGTCGACGGTAGAATGGCAAAGTCGATACGGAGTACGGAGTACGTACGGGGTACTAAGGACGGCTCGCAAAGAGGCTGGTCACCGCTTTCAATGTTGCGAGTACTGGCTGTTTTCGCGATTTGTTCAATCTTCGTCCATTGATGCACGGGCTTTGACTGGTCGACAAGTTGCGCCAAAGCACAGTGAGGTGGCTGGGCATCAGCGCTGCACCGCTGCACCGGACGTTTTGGGCTTCAATGTCCAGGCCGAGTCTGGTCAGCTCCACGGGCGCTTCACAGCCACTCATTTGCTTATTAAGGCGACTTCGGCTTTAGTCGAGCTTTTCCTTGCTCTCCATTTTCTGGCCGAACCCAATTCCTCGCAGCCTCCCGCCCTTTTGACCCAGACCTCTCTTTTTTTTTGCCCGTCCTTTATCCTTTTGACGAAAGCATTCTGAGTTCTGAGTTGCAAGGCCGAGAGACGCTCTGTATTTCATCATTTTCGTTCTTGTCTTTTCGCATCTTTGCTCATTCTGTTTCCGTCCGAACCGACACGGAAACTTGCAGCCGGCCGTGGCTCTCAATTGCGCCACGTCTTTTGGGTTTTCCCTCGACCCTGCCGTGGCACAAGCATTTGCGGCCTTGAGTATTTCTACACCCTTGCCTCCTCCCTCCCTCCGACCGCAGACAATATCCAGCACTCGATGGATCTCCCTCCGGCCCCGACACCTCCCGTCAATAGCGGCGGAATGCCCTCCAACACGGACCGAACGGCGAGTTTGTTGAACCTTCTCAAGTTTAGCAGTGGGTCGGGCAGCTCCAACGCCCAACATCAGCATCAGCATGCGCAACAGTCGCATCATCAGCAGCAACAGCAACATCAGCACCAGTCTCGCGAACCTTCCTACTCGCAGCCCGAGTACTCGTCGCCTCCCACTCGTATCCTCCAGCCGGCGCCTGCTGGGGCTGATCCGACAGGCCTGCTCGCCGCCCTGATGCGAGGCGCCCATGATGCCCACGACACTGATGATGAGGCTCGACAACCTGCCCCTGCTCCTGCTCCTGCTCCTGCTCCGGTGGGCCATGAGCCTACACAGCAGACCCAGCCTGCCGTTACAAACCCGTTTGCAAACGGCTCGCCATCGAACGATACCAGGTCATATTTGCTCGCCTTGCTGAACCGCCCCAAGCCCAGTCAGAATGACCAGCCCATGTTGACGGAAACCTCAAGATCCAAAGGTGCAGCGTCTCAGTCGCCCGAGATCACCACTGATTCGAACCGCTTTTTCAACCAGTACCAGCATCAACAGCCGCAGCCGCAGCCGCAGCCTCATGCCTACCAGCAACAGGCTCACCACCAGCATGCTCAACCGCAGTTTCATCAGCACCAGCCGCCCAACTCTATGAGAGAAGCCTACCATCAAGTGTCCAACGATTCATCATATGCCTACCAGCAGCTTCAGCTCGCATCACAGGATCCTCCTGCTGACCCTGCTGACATGTCTGCTCTGTTCCAGCAGCTGATGGGGAGCCTCACTCAGTCGTCGCCGCAGTCACACACCTCCCAGCCTGCTTCGCACTTGTCGCAACCGCCTTTTCAAATCCTCAAAAAAGAACAGTCCTCGCCCGCTGGTTCCCAACCCCGCGCTGGAAGTGAACGCAGCCCTCTTGCAAGCCCTCCAGATCAGAGTCGCCACGCTACCAACCGCAAATCGTCTCTCCACGTGCACAAGTCCACCGCGCAGTCGCCCAAGCAGGCCCTTCCGGTCGAGTTTGAGAGCTCAATCTCCGCAGAGAAGAGCAGGGAGACTGTTGCTGAGGCCGTGAATGACCTGGCTGACCAGGCTGACAAGGATGCCCAGGAGGCTCTCGACAGAGCCGAGCACGACCTTGTCCCTGCTGGCTTCGTCGAGGACGAGGGATCCAAGGAGGCCTCTGGTCAGGAATGGCCAAGCAAGATTGCTCACACCGAGATCGTCAAGTCAGTTGAAGAGCAGATTGTTCAGAATATCAAAAATGGCCTTGAAAAGAACGAGGTCTACCGCGCTACTGAAATGTCGTACATGAACGATGCATCTGACTCTGGCAATGCTACAGGCGAGAATGTGCGCGGCGTAGCTGATAGCTGGGAGAGTGCTGATCTGGAGGAGACCATTGAGGTGGAAGAGGAAAAGGAGCTACCTCAGGTTCGAGTCTACAAGTTCCCCCAAGAGCCGTGGAATTCTATTTGCCTCAAGGAAGAAACAGACGAGATTCGACCCGAGTTCCGTGACGAGTCCATCATGGACATTGCCCGTCTCAAGAAGGAATTCGACCAAATTGACCGCAACCTCTTCACCGCTTCTCAGACGTACATGACCTATGGCATGTCCAAACAGGGCGGTCTACGTGTTATTCGCCAAGATGATGGCAAGGATTCCAAGGTGTTTACGGACACAAAGGACCGCATTTTCAATGTTGCCATGTCTGTCACCCCTCCCGAGAGCGGAAACGTTCACCGGGAAGCCATCATTGGTACTGGCGTCGGCGGTGCTGTCTACTGGGTGCAGATTAAGGACGGGGAGAAGGATCACATTGAGGACCCGCACTTGGAGCAGTATGGGTTCGCCCTTCCTCCCATCTCCTCGCATGACGGTGATGCCCCGGGTGGCCTCTTGAAGACTCGAGCCCGCGCTTCCACTGCCCACCCCGAATTTTTCGCCGTCGGGCGTGGCAAATCCATCAACTTCATCTGGCCCGCTTACATTCTTCAGCATAAGCTTTTCAAGGCCGGCCACGACCGTGTTGTTGATACCGAAGCTCTCCTCGCCCAGTGCTCTCTCAAGATCAACACTGGCAAGGCTGGAAAGGACTTCACATTCAGCCAGGACGATTCAGTCGTCGTGTCTCTTGACAAATCAGGCCGAGTCAAGTTCTGGGATGTTCGTGCGCTCACCAAAGTCAAGGAAGACTCTGACTACCGTTACCCTCTGCCTGCCGAATCATCATTGGAAGTAAAGGAGCCTCTGATGACTCTGGCAACCACCCCTGAAGGCGAGAAAGCGTGGCCGACCTCGGTCTTGTTGCTGGATAGGAAGAAAGCATATGAGCAGAGAGGCCCCCTTCGCTACATGGTGGTTGGTATGAAGCAGAACCACACTCTTCAAGTCTGGGACCTGGCTCTCGGTAAGGCCGTTCAAGAGTTCAACCTCCCACACAGCAAGGAATCCGATGCCGTCTGTAGCGTCATGTACCACCCTGCCAGTGGCATGATTGTTATTGGCCATCCCACCCGTAATTCGGTCTATTTTGCACACTTTTCGGCTCCTAAGTATAGCCTTGAGAACGTGTCCCAGGTTGACTACATTGAGAAACTCCTCCAACCTCTGAAACCCAACGAAGCTTGCTCAATCCGAAAGCCGAGTAGTACGGCTATCATTAGTGGCTTCCGCGAGTATTCATTCGCTAATCGAGGGGTGCTGCGCAGCCTGGACATTCTTTATACCCCGATCACGAAGCAAGGAATGGGACACATGGCGGGCCAGGACCCCAAAGACAAGGACCGTCTTCGATTCGAATTATACGCCATGCATTCCAAGGGCGTAGCCTGCGTGCTGATCAAGAAGAGTGATCTTGGAGGGTCTGACAATACCCTTGTGCTCGATGCGGTGAAGGAGGGTCTTGTTACCGTCTCCGACTTTAATAAACCCCAGGCAGTTGATCCAAGTCACGGCGGAAACCAGCAGGCTAAGAACACTGCCCATCGTGCCGTACCGAAGCAATCGCCGAGCCAGCAGTCCACGTCAGCTGCACAGAGCGATGCCGCTCAACGTGGATCTGATGCAGCCACTCCCGCAAAACCGAGTCATGAGGCAAAAGAGGCCGAGACTCCTGCCCAGTCCTCTAAGGAAGGCCAGGCCGAAAAGCCGGAGCGCAAGTCTCGAAAGAAGAAGGGCAATGCTGCCGCCAAGGAAGCAGAAGCTAATGGAGCTACCAACCCACCTCGCGGGACACAAGCAGGCAGAGCCGAATCCGCCGCAAAATCGAACAGCACCGCTGCTGTTGCTTCTGGTGTGACTTTTGAAGTCCTTGACTCGACCATGAACACCATGCAAACACGCTTAACTGCCGCCGTATCCGATACTCTCAAGTCCTCTCTCAAGAATCTCCATGTTAAGATCGATGAAAGTGCTCGGCTCCGGGACGAGAATTTCAATCAACACCAACTTAAGCTGTTGGACATGGTGTCCGAGGTGCTGAACGAAAACACGCAAAAGGTCTTGGAGTCCTTGATTCATCACCAGTTTACTGAGCTGCTGGTCCCTGCTATTGGTGAAAAGGCCACCATAGCCGTTTCTGACGTGCTCCAGCACAACCTTCAACCCAATGTCGCGTCGGCCGTGCAGAAGGAGATTCAAAGTGCCCTGCCTCAGGCTCTGAACAGGTCACTCCGGTCTGTGGATTTTGTGACAGCCATTGCCGACCGTGTTGGTACAGCTGTCAACTCGACCGTGCAGCAAGAGATTGTTGCTACGCTCAGCCAACGCCTAACTCCCACGTTCCGAAACATGGCCACCCAGTCGGCTCAGCAAGCCGCGGCCGAAGTTCATCAGCAGTATAACGACAAGTTTGAGCAGATGCAGTCCCGACATGCTGCCGACAGCAACAAGATCGACCAGCTACTCTCGTATGTCACCACCCTGACAGACATGGTGTCCACAATGGCTGCGTCCCAGTCCTCGCTTCAAGCCGAGTTTTTGAAGTTGAAACAGCAGCCCGTCCATGAGCTGCCGGGGGCTTCCGGGCTCCAAAGTCAGGCCCGAGATGGCGGCCCTGGATTCCGGGGCTTTGGTCCTCAAGGTGGCTACCCCAACAATGGCTTCATGACGGGACCCAACCCGCATTCCAGTTTCACCGGCTATCAGACAAATCAGCCTCCTACCTACCAGCAGCAGCAGCAGCAGCAACAGTACATGGCCGGGCCTGACTATTTGCGCAGTGGTCAACATGTGGGAAGCCCTCGAGATTCCACTTCCCAGACAGACGTGACTTCCGCAAGCAAGGTTGCCTCTGTAGGCGGCCCCTTTGCCAACCATGGCAGCAATGTTGACTCCGAGGCGGACAGGGATGTCCATGATGTTGAAGTGCTGATACAGGACGAAAAGCTGCAGGAAGCGTTGCTGAAATGGATCAAAGGCGGTCACCAAAGGGAAGTTTTCCAGCGCAGCCTCAGTTTGCAGTCACCCAGCCGATTCGAGCATCTCCCACCAGTGTTGCTCTTGGCTGCCATTGGCGCCATTTCGAAAGACCTGGATGTCAATAACTTGCTCAAACAGCGAATTGATTGGATTGAGATGGCTGTGCGGTCTATTGACAGGAGAGCCGCGGAACGCGTAAGTTGCCCCTCTGAACACGTGGTCTGTAGCGAAGTGATGTTCTAACATTTGGGTACAGGATTGGAGGGAACTGGGACGCGAAGTGGTGAAGCAGGCGTACGACACCATCTGTTGGTTCATTGGAAAACTGAACACACTGATGGAAAAGTACGAAACAGGCTATGCTTTGGAGCGAAGAAGGCTGGAATGGATTGTGGGATCCTCGGAACACATTTTGCAGACGTTGGATCGTTCGCAAAGCTAGAAGAAGCTACAAGAAGCACCTTTGTCAGGGAGACGTGATGCTATTTTTGCACATTTTTGTACCGATTCGGACATGGCGGAGTAGGGAGGAAATGCGTTGCGTGTTTGAGCGGCAACGTCTTGGCCCGGAATCTATTCCCCTCCGCGGTTTTGTTTTGGCTTGGTTCATGCCAAGAGGGAAAAAGTGAAGGGTTGCCTTTGTGTTTCTTTTATTTTCTGCTTGTTTTCTCCATAATCATTGAGGTTGCTCTCTGTTTGGAAGGGATTTATTTGGGGAGGGTGACTGGCTTGGTTTCATCAGTTTCACGCGACCACACTTGATGACTGGAATGATGTATATTGACCTTTCGTATATGTCATCTGTGGCTACAGATGGGCTATCTAGTAATGCTAGGGCTGTATATCAAGTACTCATTTTGCTACCCGCGTGTGCTTGGGATTTGCGACGGGACTGACGGGAGTCTACAATGTGTTGGGCCCCATGGTCGGTCGGCATGTCCTCGATTTGAGGGGGAAAAAAAAACATGTGCTGGCATCCTTGACAAATGACCAGGCATGCAAGCAAGCATTGCATTTGGAGACGTCGTCTGTCTGGGTCGGTGACGGTGGCTAGCTGTGTGTTCTGGTTTGGGCATCCGCTTCCGCCATGCAGGAGATTCCATGCAAGCACGGCGACACACGGAACTTGCAAGTGGCACAGCGTAGCATGAAGGCAACGGTCCGGTGACTTGCAGTGTCTGCTGCCGCGGATCCATTGATATGCATGACTGGGCTTGAATGGCGATCCACTTGTTGGCGGAATACTGGTTTTAGTAGTCCAGCTGCATGCCGTCTTGCAGCGGCATTTGCCTCTGATGAGTCTGGTGTGTTTGGCGGAGCGGTCCAGCTGGTGCCTGTCTGGTGTTGTTTTCGATTGCGTTTGCTGCTGGACGTGGTGCCACTACATGGTTGAAATACGTAGTGGCGGCCTCCCTGTGACTATACGACGAGCATTACGACCATTTGATCCCACTGGTTTGTCCCATCTTTTTGCCACCATCGACTGCTGTTGGGTGGTTGATAGAGAATCGTCATCACGTCTGGAATTGAGACGATTGGCGTATTTGGGGGTTGTGCATCGGTTTGACAAAAGTACGTATGTAAACGCCGCCGCGCAATTTCTACATGAATCCTGCTTCACGACATTGACTCTTTCTACTCGGTTAGTACTCTTATGACACGGGGAACACGCAAAATTCGCCAGTATGCACTTGGAGCGGGACAAGGTGTACGACGCCCCCGAGGGAGAGGTCTGGAGCACCGTGAAGCCGGCGTCGACACACAACAGCGCGGCGCCCAAGAGACTCGCGCAGCGATGGAACCACCGATGGAGCGACGAGAGCCTCACGCAGGGGGTATCTCCGCTCAAGGACTCGTCCAAGACGGTCAAGGCGTCGACCACGATCCCCCTGGGCACGGGCAGGCCCACGGCGCTGTACTACCCGTGGCAATCGGTGAGCATGGCGGGCACCGAGGCGAGCCGGCAGCCGCGGGGGCTGAAGCCCACTCTCGCCGGCAACATGACGTGCTCCAAGGGCGAGGCGGCGTTTGACCTCTCGTCGGCGCTCAACTACGGCGAGCCCTCGGGCTGGAGCCAGCTGGTGGCCTTCTTCCGCGAGACGACGGGCCGCGTGCACCGGCCGCCGTACGCGGACTGGGACACGACGCTGACGTGCGGGTCGACGTCGGCCGTGGACCTGGTGCTGCGCATGTTTTGCAACCGCGGCGACTGCGTGCTCGCCGAGAGGTTTACGTACCCGGGCACGCTGATGGCGTCGCGGGCGCAGGGCCTGCGGACGGTGGGCATCGCCATGGACGCCGACGGCCTGGTGCCCGAGGCGCTGGACGCCGCGCTGCGCGGGTGGGATGCCGCGTCGCGCGGCCGCAAGCCGTTTGTGCTGTATACCATTCCGTCGGGGCACAACCCCACGGGGGTGACGCAGTCGGCGGCGCGCAAGAGGGCCGTCTACCAGGTCGCCGAGCGGCACGACCTGCTGATTGTCGAGGACGACCCGTACTTTTTCCTGCGGCTCGGGCGCGGCGGCGGGGGAGAGTCGCTGCCGACGTCGTACCTGTCGCTCGACACGGCCGGGCGCGTGGTCCGCGTGGAATCCACGTCCAAGATACTCGCGCCGGGCCTGCGCTGCGGGTGGCTGACGGCGAGTAGGCAGGTGGTGGACATGTTTGGCAACTTTGCCGAGGTCGGGCCCTCGTCGCCCGCGGGGCCCTCGCAGGCCATGCTGTACAAGCTGCTCGTCGAGAGCTGGGGGCCGGAGGGCTTCGCCGGCTGGCTGGACTACCTGTCGGGGGAGTACGGGCGGCGGCGCGACGTCATGGTGGCCGCGTGCGAGAGGCATCTCCCGCGCGAGGTGTGCGCGTGGACGGCGCCGACGCACGGCATGTTTCTGTGGGTGGGCGCCGCGCTGGAGAGGCACCCGCGCTACCAGGAGTCGGGTGCGCGGGACCAGGACCGGGATGCCGACGCCGACGCGGAGCTGTGCCGCGCCGTCGAGGACGGGATCTGCGCGCGCGCCGAGGCCAATGGGGTTCTGGTGGCGCGGGGCAGCTGGTGCCGCGTCGGGGGCGGTGCGGATCGCGCCTTTTTCAGGATGACGTTTGTGGCGACGGCCGAGGCGGCGGATCTGGAGCGGGGGGTTGCGCAGTTTGGACGGGCGGTGAGGGACGAGTTTGGGCTGGGGTGATGGTGGTTTGGGGAATTTACATGATGGATAGAGTATTTCTAGAGTGGTTGAACGATGATAGCTTTGATGTAGCCGTGTTTCCGGCATGCTTCCATATACCGTGGTGGTGTCAAGGCTAGTAGTTGATACAATTTACCTCTTCCTCCACATCTAGCTAGACTTGCCGAGGTCGCCTTATTACACGGGAGCAATGGAGAGGAGTTCTATAACAACAATTTGCAACATAATAAACGCTTTAAAGCCTGCGGTTCAGCCGTCATCATGAGAAACACGTGTTGATAAGTTGTCATTGGAAACTATATATTGTAAATTGTAAATACAACATCCACGCATCGCACATCATGCGGCAACAACCTCTCCACCGTTCTAGTCGCCATCACGAGTTAGCCATGCCCAGAACCTCGGCAAGGTTTTCCGCCGGGTCGCCGTTATTCACAATGCCCAACCAGGTACCCGGCTTCTTATACCCCAGAAGCGAGAGCATCTTGTCACTCATCCCCAGCACTTTACTCCTCGGAATGGCCAGAAACTGATTCTCCTCGGGGCGCAGCGTCCCCGGGATAAAAAACAAGCCGTATATCTTGCGCACCTGGTCCGGCACCGAGTTATGCCCAGCGCCATGATACACGGTGCCCAGGAAGACCAGCGCCGAGCCCGGCTCCATCTCTGTCACGATCCCATCAACATTAGCACATCTGGCACCATGGACAAAAGGCATCTCAGAGACTCACCCGCGAAGCAAACCTCGTCGACCCGCGGCACCCGCGCATGATCCCATTTATGCGAGCCGGGAATAGCCATGGTCGCCCCGTTCTCCCTTGTCGTCTTGGACCCAGCAATCATGAAGCCGAGCATCGTCTCGTCGGACAGGCGATACTCGCCGCCACGGTGGTAGATGCCGTGAATCATGTCGTCCCGGTGCAGCCTCTGCCGCGGACCGCCGTAGCTGATGTGGTACGTCAGGCTGCTGTTGAGCAGAGGGTCGATGGAGAAGTCCTCGGTGCGGTCCTCCCACGTCGCGGTGCACTTTCTCTGCAGCACCCGCGTGCGCAGCGTGTCAATGACGTCGAGCTCGGCCATTCTCGCCATTGTCGGCGACTTGCCCACGACGCCGGGGACCATGATGGTCTGCTTGGGGATCAGGTCGTACGCCTCGTGGCTTTCCGCCCTGGCCTTTTGGATGTAGGGCTCGATCTCGGCGTTGATGGCCGCCACATCTTGGGGAGACACGAGGTCGACCAAGATGAGGGCTCCGTCGCGCTCCAGGGTGGCGATGATGTCGGCGGTTGGTGCCGTCGCGGGGAGCCTTGTCAGAGAGACGGAGGGGATATAAGACGGGTCAATGGGGGGAGGAAAGGCGCCCATTGTGGCGGATCACGACTGGAGGCCGCGAGGGGGTCAGATGTCTGGATTCTGGAATATGCTGTGTTCACTGTGCTGTGCGAATCAAGTGCGCCGTGTTGTGGTGACGCGGGATATCGCAGCTCGCTGTGGCCCCCTTTTCGTATACAAGAGCACAACGTTGAATGCATTCTACCGTGCTTTTTCTACCCGTTCTCGACCCCGAGTCCCTGACATAAAGACTCTTGGTCCCTTGTCGAGGCGTCCCAGTCCTGCCGCTGCTGCCGCCTGCTGCCACGTCACGGGTGGGCTCGCTGCATCTGAGGTTGTATCAGGCGCGGGTGCGGGTTCCTGGCCCTGGGGTTTTTCTTTTTTGACCCCTTTGTTCGCGGATCCATGTCTTGGACCCCCGGATTCCGACAGTTGCATGGCAAACCCTGTCCGGCGTCAGGAAGCTGCCGCCACACTCGGGGGTGCAGTCTATGTCGAGACGGGGGAGCTGGGAAGAAGGGCCACATCAGGAGCTTGCTGTCCCCGGAGAGAATCATTTCTCAGCTCCCATTGACATTACGTAAACTTAGCTAGCGGGGGAGGAGAGGTAGAGTTCCTTCTTTGGTCAACGTTGAAAAGGTAATCCACCCAAAGGCCTTGTGGCTGCACAAATGACGGCACGTCGTTGATTCACATGTCCGGACAAAGATGCGTAAAGCTTGGAGGAACGTAGCTGTGAAGCATTGTTATCTCATACAGCACGGGGCAGAAACGTGGCCAACAGGCTTGCTATTTGCCATCCCCTTGCTACAAGTTCCAGCCCGTCGCTGAAGCTGTCAGAGCCATCATGTCTTTCCCAATCCGACGTTTGCAATACATGGCGGTGCGGGGAAGGGCAAGGCTGAGTGGCGGATTTTAAAAAGTCTACACGGTCAAACTGGCATGTACCACGGAATAGGATTTGCAAACGGTTATACAACGCACGTCTGTCTCACTCTGTCTCACTCCGTCTCGCTCTGTCATTGTTCGGTCGCACAAACTCCCCCAGAAATTGTCCTCAGAACATGTCTCGCTCCCTCAGCATCAAACCCAAGACCCAAACCTCCCCATCAATGGATCCAGCAACCAGAGACAATTCCGCCATTGTCCTCGCATGCCCAGCATGACGCGCGAACCGTCACAACCACCCATCATGGCCAAACTGGGCACAATGCCACCCCAACATGCTGCCAAGCCAGTCGACGAACACGCCGCCCGTTTGATCCCCGAGGACAGCGTCCCCATCCAGACGCAAAAGCCATTCACCACCCTCTCCGCCATCGGCATCGGCTACGGCGTCACCAACACGGCCGTCGGCATCCCGCTCATCCTCAGCACGGCCATGCCCATGGGCGGCTCGCCCCAAGTCTTCTGGGGTTTCCTCGCCATGGCAGCCGTCGGCCTCGCCACGGCCACCACCCTCGCCGAGCTCGTCTCCGCGATGCCTCACCCCGGCGGCCAGTACATCTGGGTCAACGCCCTAGCGCCCAAGAGATACCGCCGCGGCCTGTCCTACACCACGGCCATGATTAGCTGGGTCGCCGCCGTGGCCACCGGCTCCTCGGGCAACCTGTCCGTTCCCCTAAACGCCTTTTCCATCGTGACGCTTCTTCAGCCGGATTTCGTCTACCGCCGGTGGATGGGGTTCGCGGCCTTTCAGGCCATTAACGTAGTCACCTGCTTTGGCGCCTGCTTCGAGCACGCGCTGCCCAAGCTGTCCAAGGCGTTTTTGCTGTTCAACGTCGTGTCGGTGGGCGTCATCATCGTGGCGCTGTTCGCCATGGCCGACGCGCGCACGAGCGCCAAGGACTTTTTCACCACTGTGAATACCTCTGGGTGGCCGGATGGCGTGGCCTTTATTATTGGTCTGAACGGAGCCAACTGGTGCTTCTCGTGCCTCGACGTTGCTACACACCTGGCTGAGGAGATTCCCTCCCCTGGGACAAATATCCCCAAGGCCCTGCTCTGGACCATCTTTATAGCATCCACCAGCGGCCTCTTGGTCGTCTTGGCGGTTCTTGTGAACCTGGGCCCTGTGGATGTAAGCGACTACTCGGGTATTGGTATATTCTACCGCATCACGGGGAGCAAGGCGGCCGCTATTGGCCTCTGGATCCCCGTTCTGATTCTTGTCTTGGCGTCCGTCTGGTCCATCCAGACGTGGCAGTCTCGCCTGGCGTGGACAATCAGCCGCGAGTCTGGGTTCCCGCTGCACCGGCACTTTAGCAAGATCTTCCCGGCGCCCTTTTACACGCCTATCTGGTCGCTGGTGGGTTCTGCCGTTGGCACGGCCCTGTTTGGTTGTTTGTATCTTGCGTCTGAGCTGGCCTTCAACTCGCTCATCGCCACTGGCATTCTGCTCCAGTATATTAGCTATAGTATTCCCACTGTACTGGTTTTGTGGCAGGGCAGGCGCAACTTTCGGCACGGCCAGTTTTGGTATCCCAGGTTGGGTCTCGTTGCTAATTTCATAATGCTGGCGTGGACGGTGGTGGCTTTCGTCTTTTATTGCTTTCCCGCGAATGCACAGGTACGTCCGAGCCAGATGAATTATGTTTCGGGCGTTTTGGTCGTCATTGCCACGTTTATTGCTGCGCTTTGGATTCTCTACGCCAGGAAGAATTATAGGGTTATGGAGATTTAGAGACAAGAGCTGTAGCACGCCCGATAAGTTGGTATTCAGTCACGGATTGCATGTTCCGGCGGCTTTGTCCAACAAATCATCCCAAACTGCATTGTGATGAGAGTTCCCAACATGGCAACTGCTTGGCTGGGTTCCTGCACTACCCCATTAAATACATGTTTTTAACTTGCAGCAATTTGAAGCAATCTGCTCAACTCCTTGGCTACCAGGCATATCTATGCAGACCCCCTGCTGCCAGTGACATTACTACGGTGCTCTGCTCTGCTTGAGTGTCCAGCCCGACCTGAAAAAGTCTTCAATATCCGTCGTTTCCACCTCTGGAAAAAGCTCAGCGAGATTCTTGCCGGGCAAGTCGTGCGCTCTGCTCAACATGGAAAGCATGACTTGGTGCTCGACGTCGCGAAACATTTCCCCCTTGGCCGGATCCTGAAACACGGCCGTGTTAGAAGGCAGTTGTGTGATGCGACCCTTATGAATGCATTCCACCGAGTCGTATGCGACTTTGAATTTTTTCCCTGTTACATGTCAGCAGCGTGGACATGTCCTTTCCAGATACTGGCTATATACCTGTGACCTTGTTCACAAGCGACTCGAGGTCTTTTACCAGAAGCTTGTTTGACGCGACGACAGATTCGCGCGGCCAATTCTCGGCCGGCAGACCTACCAGACGCTCAATGTATGCCGCGAGGTCTTGCGAGTGCGTGAGCACAAGAGGCTGTGACCCGTCGCCCGGAAAGACGCATTGCTCGTGGTCAATGTCGACAAATACCCAGAATGGGGTAATGTAGGTTGTCTTGGGGTTATGCGGCATCGTCAAGTGATCAAGGAAGATGCCGACCCTGATAAGCGTCCACGTCAACTGCGCATGTCGCGAGAGCTCAGCTTCGGCCTCGAGTTGAAAATTGGTAAACAGGTCAGCGCCGCTGGTGGAAAAGAGTGAGAACCGCTGCCTTGACAGAATTGACTGGAGGGAAACGTACGGGATTGGGGCATGGAAATCGATATAGTACTCGCTAGGAATAAATTTGGTTACGGTTCCTGATTGAGCTGCGGCCCGGATCAGGTTGATCTGCGACTGGGCAACGGCTTCATCAACGAGAAGCAAGGCTGACACAACGACTTGAACGTTATTCTCTTGCAGAATCTTCTTCATCTGCTCTACACTGTTGTAATCTACTGCAAAACGTTTCGGTTCGTCGACTGCGGTAGGAACTGATGTCTGAAGAGTATAAGTTTCCCTGATGCATGAACAGGATGGCACCGGGAGGCTTACTGTTCTTGAAAGCACAATGGCTTGGTGTTGGCCCGATTTTGCAATAGCATCCAGCACGGTGCGCCCGACGCCGCCTGTGCCGCCGGCAACGGCAACGACGACCATTGTAGAGACGAGGACGATGGGTAGCGAATACTGGTGCAATGGTGCAAGGTTTTGGAATCGCGCAAGTTGCCCAGATCGTGGCGGCACTTGAGCTAGTTTCGTGATATACACCGGCCCGGTTGCCAAGTATTTCTCGGATTAACTACCTAGGTAGTTACCCAGTAGTAAATACTATACCGCATAGTCTAATCCCTCTGCATGTGTCCGCCAAAGGGCGCGATAAGCAAGAGACTACATGCAGTGACTGGATCCGTTGCCCACGGGGAATCTTGGCTGCAGGGACAAGTCTCTCGCCATACTGGTCAACAATTACAAATCGCAACTTTATGCGGTTATTGTACAATTCGGCAGGTGTCTCTTGGGCAGCCCACTTGTGCAGGAGCAAGCATTGCATTGCATAGTGGAACGCGGATGGTAAGCTGCAATGTCCATAATGCAGAATGCTTGTGATGGAGACTACCTGCGGCCAGGCATCCAGGATACAGCTTGCTGCAAGTAACCATGCCATGCTTCCTGCGTCTCCAGCATCGTGAAAGACGGGTTACTACACTTGTATATGCCGGCTACAGATCCGTACGAGCCGCCCACGGCCAGAAACAGTAGTTCATGCACAACAGACTCAACGGACTACCAGCCGCGCTTCGATGCAGGCGCGGTTCGCGCTCGGCGCACCCGGGAGAGTCGAGACTCAAAAGCTGTTGTCTGATCAAGTCTGACGGACTGTATTCGCGGGACTGGTCCTTTTCGCTTTGCTGTACGCCGAGAAAATGCCTACGTAGTTTTGGGGACACCTCACACCTCTGCCCGACGTCTCATTGCTGTCTTTCAGCCGCAACTTTGCTGTGCTTCCCAACAATGCGTGTGGCAATTGCTGGCTACGGCGACCTGACTCGCTACATCTGCGAAGAGTTTGTCAAAGCCGGCCATGTACTCGTCATCCTGACCCGAAGCTACAAACCCCAACTCGAGAGCCAAGGTGTCGCTCAGGCCATTACAGATTACTCCCCGTCGTCTCTGAGAGCTCCTCTGGCCGATTGCGAAGTATTGATATCGACAATTTCAGATATTTCGTCAGCCTATACCAATGTCCACAGAAACCTCATCCTGGCCTGCCAAGAGAGCCCCCGGTGCAAGCGCTTCATTCCCGCCGAGTTTGTAGCCGATATCGAGGCGTATCCAGATGAGCCTGGCTTCTACTATGCACCTCACGAGCCGATACGTGAGATGCTCCGGGGCCAGACGGATCTCGAGTGGACATTGGTTTGTATCGGCTGGCTTAGTGACTACTTTGTGCCGTCGAAGAATCGACACATTAAAGACATTGGCGAGTTCCATCCCATGAACTGGGCCGGGAACAAGATTGTAATCCCGGGGACGGGGAATGAGCCTGTGGATTTCACATGGGCGCGCGATGTTGTGAGAGGGCTGGCATCCCTCATTGAGGCACCGCGCGGTTCATGGGAGCCGTATACCTTCATGTCGGGGGAGCGCAGCTGCTGGAATGACGCTACCAGGCTCGCCGTGCAAAAGTATCGACCTGGTATCCCGATACAACACGTATCGTTGCATAGCGTTGCAGGCATGATCAAGACGGCGAAGGATGAGAATACCGAAGTCCTGGCTGACTATTACCTGTTGTCTATCAGCCAAGCATGCGCAATTCCCACGGATAAGGTTGAAGCTCATAGGGAAAAGTACTTCTCCGGTGTCACCTTTCGAAGTTTGCGAGACGGACTTTGCCAGGTTGACGAGCATCCGGACTCGATACTGTAGTGTAAATAAAGGCATAGTATCAAGGTTGATAAATCACCGAAAGCGATTATGGCAAATTTTCTATTTATCAATCGAGTTTACAGGCCTTTTTTTCACACTATAATATACGGTGATGAAAACTACTAATCCCCGTCATTTGCCCAAACAACGTATAATTCCACAACAATTGTCCGATGAACAAAATGATGAGATTTAGCTTGAATAGCAAATAGTGCATCCAGGTATAACTAGTGAAATGGAAAGAAAAGGAAAACTATACAGGAATTTAAACGACCTGCTTAGAACGTAATATAAAATAGACTCGACAGGTCAGCCCACACCAGGCTTGGGAACAGAATGAGACCAACAACGGGCAAGCAGCGAATCCATTACGTGGGATTTACACAAACGACGTATACCATCTACCATAATCCATCGTGTAATGTACATTCCAACGCCTCCTCACGTACGCATTTTGGCCCTTGCCGCCTCAATGCAATGCACATACCTGCGGACGTATTCCTCATCCAACGGCGGGGCCCGATACGCATCCAGTCCTAATACATGCTTACCGACCGGACTCCCACTCACCAAGCTACCTACAGTTTTATCATTGTAGCCATCAAGAACAGTAGCAATACGGGCCAGCGAACTTGTCGGGTGGGCGGCCGCATACTCGAGCGCGCGGCGGTGCCACTCACCAAAGGAAACCATCTCCTTGCCACCGCTCACAGAGCACATCATTTCAAAGAAGTGCTTGAACGTAAGTGCCTGCGGGTTGACAAAGTCGTAGTCCTCGCCAACTCGCTCCTGGTCCTCGGTCATGATGGCAGCAATCGTCCCGCACAGATAGTCGACCGGCAGCACAGAGGACAAGTCAGCATTGATCAAGGGAAAAGCGCCCAAGTCCAGACTTCCCGTAACGAGATTATTCAAAAAGTCGCCACGGTCAAGTCTAAAACGGCCACTGGCCGCCGAGGCAGCCACAAACGGCAACCGATAGGACGATGCTTTGGCGCCGCGGAAACGAGCGGCCACAACCATTTTTTCAGCAAGGTACTTGGACGTGCCGTAGCCGTACTCGCCGTCGTGCTCGGCAAGCCCGTAGCCCGCATGGATGGGCAGCGTGGAAATGGTGGATATGAAATGGATGGCCTTGGCACGGCCGCAAGACGCCAGACGCAGGACCTCGTGCGTGCCGAGGACGTTGGGGCCAATGTAGTCGTCCAGCGGGCGCATCCAGTCGACAAGAGCGCCAGAATGGAGAATGGCGTCGACGCGGCTCGCCAAGTCGTCGAAGACGACCTCGCCGAGGCCCAGTAAGGGCTGGGAGAGATCGCCGGCCACCGAGACAAGCAGCGGCTCGTGCTCGGGCCGCCAGAGGCCGTATTGCTTCAGCGTGGTTATCATGCGTTGCTGCGCCTCTTGAGAGCCGCTAGCACGCACGAGGCAGTACACTGATATGCGTCTTTGAAGAAACTCGTGTATCATGAAGGTGCCGACAAAGCCGGTTGCGCCAGTCACGAACACAGTCCCGGGGACACCAGGAGAAACAGGGTTGTTGAACTGGAATGTGGAATCAAGAACGCCCCTTCGGATGTCTGCCATGTCGACGCAAGAAGCGGCCGACGTTGGCGTGCTTGGTGTTGCGCCATCGGTATCTGATGGACTGGACGTGCTGCTCTCGACATCGTCCATCAGCCGGCACAACAGGAACTCGCTGAGCGACTTGAGATTGGGGTAAAGGAGGGCAATGTTGGGTGGTAGTGCCATTCCCGTTAATGTCGCCAGATGGTTGCGAGTGAGGATTGCCGTCAGAGAGTCGATCCCCAATTCCTGCATGGGTCGACTGGCGTCGACGTCCTCAGCCCTCGTGTACCCTAATGCCTTGGCAATCGTGGCTTGGACCATGTGCAACACGATGCTGCTATGCTGTTCCGGAGCAGCGTCTGCCAACAAGTCGCGCAAGTTGACGACCTCATCAGCCGGCTTCTGGACCTTTGTTCCGCCCAGCATCGAGTTCAACAAGGGGGGAACACCGCCTTGCTCTTCGTAATAGGCCCTGAGACGCTGTAAATCAAGGACCGCCGCTACAGTCAGCGCGCGGCCTTGATACACGGCGTGCTCGAAAATCTCTAATCCGGCTTCCGGCGGGAGGAAACCCAGTCCGAGCTGCGAGAGATGGGCGCGGGTCGTTGGGACGAGAGTCGTCGCCATGCCGTCTCCAGCCCACGTACCGTAGGCCACAGAGCTGGCTGGCAGGCCCTGCGCTCGTCGCAGGTGTGCGAGCGAGTCGATGAAGGAGTTGGCGGCGGCATAGTTGCCTAGGCCCGGTAGGCCGATGATACCAGATATGGAGGAGAACATCATGAACAGATCCAAATCCATGTGCTTGGTCAGTTGGTGCAGATTCCATAGGCCGTCGACTTTTGGCGCGAAAACCGCGGCGCATTTGCGAGGAGTCAAGGATGACAGAGTACCCGAGTCAACAACTCCGGCAGCGTGAACTACGCCTCGCAAAGGTCGATCCGGTGTAAATAACTGCATAACTGATCCGAGACTGTCAAGGTCTGCCAAATCGCAGCCAACTATGGTGGCTTTGGCACCCAGTTCAGCAAGCTCGGCGACGAGTGCGTCGGCACCGGGGGAATTCGTCCCCTGCCGCGACACCAGAACAAGATCACAGACCCCGTGGGCGGTGGCCAGTCTACGGGCTACGCGGCTTCCGAGATCACCCAGGCCGCCCGTGACCAGCACAGCGCCGTCGGTTCGAACGAATGGTTGTCCGACCGGCAGCGGTGCGGCCAGGCCAGCGCGCTCCATATGGGGCATTAGCAGCTGTTCTCTGCGGACAGCAATCTCTGTCTGATCGGCCAGCATGATCGCCTGGCTGAGGGAGGCGCGGTCCGTCTCCTCATCGACGTCGATCAAGCGCAGCCGCAGCTCCGGATGCTCGCTCCGAGCGGCGCGCATGAGGCCCCACAACGGCCCGGCGCCGATATTGACGGGCCGGTCGTCGGCTCCGGCACCCACGGCATGCCGGGTGACCCATACTATGGGCGCGCCAAGGCCAGTTCGGATCGCCTCTTGCAACTGAGCCAGCGCTAGTGCGGTGACGCCGTGTGCCATCTGGACAGTGTCGGCGTCAGAGTCCCACAGAGACAGCAAGCCGTCCAGCTGGTCGGCCTCATGAGGCTTGCTCACTGCCACCAACTGAATACCCGTGGCTAACAAGGCCCTTTGTGCCT